ACTACTCAAGGAATCTTTTTCCTGCTAAGCAAAACTACAAGGAGCACTTGGCAATTAAGACCACATCTGAAGGATGGAGATACCACTTGAAAGGGGCCTGTCATCTGGTCCAAATGCTTACCAACCAAATGAAGCAGGAGTACCTCTACCGGGCCAAGACCCTACACCAGTGATTGTTCCAGTGGGCCCTATTCTTCTCTCCAGTTGAACTTTACCTTTCACCTACAGCCTTGGAGCCAGGAATGGTAAAGCTAACAGATACATCTGTCTTGAAGATACAGCTCTAACCCATGAGTTCCCAATCCTGAACAAACTCTCACTTTTAAGTCCCATAACTTCTTTGATGTGACTGGGTTCCAGAACCTGCCCACACTTAACTGCTCTGCCTCTGTTTGGATTTGTGTCCAATGCATTGGCTATTATCAACAAAAAAAGGAATACCTCATAGGAGGGGATCACATTCATAAGAGAGTGCCTCCTGTGTTCCGTCCAGGTCTGGGAGGGTTGCAGTTCATTAACTGTGCCATGATACTGCTATGCCAGGACTTCTAGGGTACTATAAAATTCAACATTTAATGCCCCATATCTTCTGATAGCCTGAATGTGTCCCATGAGAGAGACTTTTGTGGCTTGCTGCAAGTTGAGTGCCCACACCGATATCGCATGTCAGAAACCCTGCAGCCTCCTCTAACCTATAGGCACCATCTTGGTCCTGGAAGGCCATTTCCTTGACTTTGTGATGCAACTACATGAGTCCAATGGTTTTATGACCATCCTGATAGTAGTTGGTTGTAATGATGTTAAATTGTTTAATCAGCTACTCAAGTAGTCTATGGAATTTCCATTGACTACTCAATTAGTTGATAAGGGGGGAAACTGCAGAGCCACAGTAGGGTTAGCTCCTGGGGCTGGGAGCTAACTGTGCTGAGCCTCTCCCTCTTAGATGTAGTAAGAGCTGCCCAGCTCTTACTGCGGTTCTGCCTTTTAAATGTAGTATCTGGGACTGGGCTCCTGCTGCGCCTCTGCCTCCCCCTTTCCCTGCAGGGAGGGGGAGGGCTGTTAAGCTGGCTCCTCCCAGCTCCTGCTCCCCACGCTTGCTGCCTCTGATAGGCAGCAAAGGGTGGAGGGGGAGAAGCGACTAGCCTGGTAGTGACTCAAGTATTCGCTTACATCCCTAGTTGCTTGCTTGCTTGCTTGCTTGCTTGCTTGCTTTTCTAAGATGGCTTAATTAATTTCCTGCATAGGTTTATTCTTCTAAGAAAACAGCTTAGCTCTGGATAAACAACATAATCCATCATCATGACTTTCCGAGTCACGGCGTCTCTAACTGGGGGTCACAATTTATTGCTCCAAACTGTGCTCCTTGTTTTTCCTGTTCCTGATACCTTTTTCTGCTATCTTCTCCTACTATCCCAGCTTCATCTCTTGATATTCTGAGCTAGCTTCATTCCTGACATCTGACTTGTAATTTCTCACTTCCAGTTTCTGTTCTTCCTCTGATCCCCTGGCTTTCTGACCTGGCCTTACTCTGGATCTGGATTCATTATTCTGATCTCTAGTTAATCTCATGCTTCTCATCTTCCAGAATCCTAAGCCAGCTGGCTCTTGACTCCTGTCTCATGGCTACAGACTTAGTCTCTATGAAACCTCTATTCTGTATATCATACTTCTGATTTTTTTTTTAAAATATTGATCTCCATTTTCCTTGTTCATTCTTTGTTTTCCCCTCCTATCTTTGTTCTTCATTTGTTTTCACTGAACCATAGGGAGAGGTGTGATTCTTGGGACCAAAGTCCCAAGGAGAAGGGAATGTGGGGATAGAGCAGATGAAAGGCCAATGTCTGATTGCTCTCTGTACTAAGTTGTTCTCTTCTTTCTTCTGAGCACCGTATGATTGATACAGGGGGTGTGGGAATTATCAACCTGTCTTTCAAGTGTCCTGTACCCTACCTTCTAGTGGGAGGAAGGGAATTCTTCTTTGGACAGTCTTCTGGCCAGGATTTTAGGAGAATATTCACTTAGGACTGTGTTTAAAATCTCAGGGTAATTTTGGGGAAAAATAGGACCACTTGTAAATATGCTGTTCTTTTACTACAAAATATGAAGCAACTTTCTAGTTCTTTACCTGCAACATGGCAAAATGCTTCTGCACATCTATGTGCACTCTCTTTACCTTATATTCAATACTGTAGAATTGGTCTTCTGTCTTTGAAGATGTGACTGTTAATAAATTTACTATTTTTTAAAGACGCTAGAATTCTCATCCATACAAATTCATAAACTCTGTTCTTTGGTCTTATTCTACTACATCATATTATGTATAGTTTGATTTTTTTTTCCTCTGCACGTTTCAATCATTTTATATCCTCCATTCCATCTTTTTGTCAATGTACATCTTTCCTTACTGAAATCTCAGACTCTCTTTTTTCCCCAGTGCTAACTCAATATACTTGAGCTTCTTGCTGTAAAAAAAGCTATGGTTTCAAAGAAACATATGTCCTCAGTTTTCATACATCAGGTTTTTTTTTCCTTCTCCACTTTGCCTTAAGCTTATCTCTACAATTGGTAAGGCTT